TTTGATTAAGTCTAACTCTTGGAATATCAAATAGGTATTTGTTTTTGGTGTGGTGCCCATGAGTTCTGTTACAACCTTCTAGGAAGTGTTGAAGGTCAGGATTGACATTACAATTCAGAGTTTTAAATATATAGAGTACACAGAGAGGATGTGCAGTGACTTAATATCTAACATATTCAGAGATTTGAGTAAGGGTACCGAGTGCTGTCTGGGGCCAGAGTTAGATATTGTTATAATAGCAGCTTTGTGTTGGGTAATTAGAGGACGTAAATGATTTTGGGTAGTAGAACCCCAAGCACAAATACCATAGTTGAGATAAGGATAGATTAGAGAGTAATAGAGCGTCACCAGGGCAGGGCGAGGAACATAATATCTGATCTTAGAAAGAACGCCAACAGTTTTAGAAACTTTTTTTACTATATTTAGAATGTATCCCTGGAAATTCAGCTTATTATCGATGAGGACACCAAGGAATTTACCATCAACTTTACTACTGATTTTGATATTGTTTATTCTTAAATAAATTTCATTTGAGGATTTATTACCAAACAAAATATAGAAACTTTTGTCAATGTTAAGGGTGAGTTTGTTAGCAGTTAGCCAAAGAGGAACTTTATTTAGTTCAGTATTCACAGTGACATTTAGAGCAATAGGATCAGGACTGGAGAAGATGAAAGTTGTGTCATCAGCAAATAAGATTGGTTTGAGGTGTTGAGAGGCATTTGGAAGGTCATTAATGTAGATGAGAGTGCCAAGTATGCTGCCCTGTGGAACACCGATATTTATAGGTAGTGTCGGAGAAATTGAATTATTCACAGAAACGTAATGGAGCCTGTCAGTAAGGTAGGACTGAAGGTATTACCTCTGACTCCATAATGATGTAATTTAAGAAAAAGGTTTTGGTGGTTGACAGTGTCAAAAGCCTTACGTAGGTCCACAAATTTCCCAACAGGGAACTCATTTTTTTCAATAGCTGCATGTATCAAGTTAATCATACTAATAAGTGCATCGTTAGTGCTTTTTTTGCGTCTGAAGCCATATTGACAAGAGCTAAGTATATTGTGCTTGGCTAGATAAAAGTAAAGCTGCTTGTAGATTAGTTTTTCAAATATTTTTGACAGGTTTGGCAAAATTGATATAGGTCTGAAGTTGTTGACATAAGTGAGATCACCACATTTATGGACTGGAGCTACTCTCGCTTTTTTTTAGAATATCTGGAAAAGTTTGGAGTTCAAGTTACTTGTTGTAGAGCAATGCAATGGCAGGGGCTAAAGATCTGGAGACTCTTTTATGGATTAGAGTTGATATCTCCGCAAGAGCACTAGACTTGATTTTAAGGGAAAGGATTATCTCATTTACATCAGTGGAATTGGCGGGCATTAGGTACAGAGACTGTGGGTAGTTACCTGTAAGATAGTCCTGAACATCAGTACTGGAAGATGGAATATCATTAGCAAGGGATGACCCAATGGATGAGAAGAACCTATTGAATTCAATTGCAGTGTCAGTGGCTGAAAGCAAACCATCATTATTGGACAGGATCATTGATTTGTTATTTAAAATCTGTTTTGATCCCAATATTTGTGAAATTGTGCTCCATGTTTTCTTGATGTTGCACTTTGTTTGAGTAAATTTATCTTCGTAGTATTTAATTTTGGCTCTTCTAATTTTTTTAGATAGTAATGATCAGTAATTCTTTGAAAGTTCTTTGGAGACGATTCCTAACCTATACTTCTTCTCATGTTCATGTTTTTTTATTAATAAATTTAAGTATCCCCTTTGTAAGCCAAGGATTTTTTAGCCTTTTAGTTGTGACTTGTTTCGCTAGCATAGGACAGTGGTTGTTATAAAGGCTGAGAGTTTTTTGAAGAAATGATTGCACTGCTTGGTTGATGTCCCCTATGGTACCTAATTCGGACTCCCAGTTGATATTAGCAGCAGCATCTGTAAAATTTGCTTTAGAAGTTTCATTGGGCAGCCTAAAGCTTATCTTCCTTGTATCTAGAAGTGGTTTGTGAATGTTGGTTAGCAGAAATGTGGGGTAATGGTCTGTAGTGCTATCAGTGATTATTCCTGAAGTAAGCGGAGAGGTTATGTTGGTCCAGATGTGATCAAGAGCTGTGGCAGTACTATCAGTGATTCTAGTAGGTCTAGTGATTAAGGGTATGAGGAAACAAGAATTCATACAGTTGAGGAAACTAGCAGCAGGAGGGTTATCAGGCACGCAGAGGTCAATGTTAAAGTCCCCAGAAATAATTAAGTGGTTTTTGTTCAGTCTGTTCTCTAGTATTAGATTTCTAAGGTTAGAGTTAAATTCAGTCACATCAGTGTTAGGAATTCTGTAGACTGCTCCCACAGTCAGGACAGCCTCACTACCCTTGACTCTGAAACAGGCAAATATTTATTCTCCACAAGGGTCTCTCTAGTTTTAATTACATTTAAGCAAGTCAGTTCTTGGTGGTAGTAAAGAGAAGTACCACCACCTCTTTGTACAGGACAACAGTTATGAATAGCTGAGTAGTTAGGTATGTTGAAGAGTTGAGTAATATCCTCTTTTAACCACTTTTCAGTAAACACAATAAAAGAGAATTTGTTGTCAACCGTTTGAATGACGGCATTAACATCATCAAAGTGTTTGCTTAGAGATCTTACATTCAAGTTAATTACAGAAACATTGTGATTACACTTTAAAACATTGTTCACGTCATGTACTGTATAATACCTGCAATTATGATCATTAAAGTGATGATTGTCATAGATAGTAGATAAGAGGTTTAGGTCTGGGTCAATGCTAGGTCAATACTGGGTCAATGCTAGGTCAATACTGGGTCAACATATTTAATACAAGATTCAAGCAGAGAATGCAGCCATATATATATATATATATATATATATATATATATATATATATATATATATATATATATATATATATATATATATGTCGTACCTAGTAGCCAGAACGCACTTCTCAGCCTACTATGCAAGGCCTGATTTGCCTAATAAGCCAAGTTTTCATGAATTAATTGTTTTTCGGCAACCTAACCTACCTAACCTAACCTAACCTAACTTTTTTCCGCTACCTAACCTAACCTAACCTATAAAGATAGGTTAGGTTAGGTTAGGTAGGGTTGGTTAGGTTCGGTCATATATCTACGATATTTTTTACTCTAATAAAAAAAAATTGACCTCATACATAATGAAATGGGTAGCTTTATCATTTCATAAGAAAAACATTAGAGAAAATATATTAATTCAGGAAAACTTGGCTTATTAGGCAAATCGGGCCTTGAATAGTAGGCCGAGAAGTGCGTTCTGGCTACTAGGTACGACATATATATATATATATATATATATATATATATATATATATATATATATATATATATATATATATATATATGTCGTACCTAGTAGCCAGAACTCACTTCTCAGCCTACTATGCGAGGCCCGATTTGCCTAATAAGCCAAGTTTTACTTAATTAATATATTTTCTCTAATTTTTTTCTTATGAAATGATAAAGCTACCCATTTCATTATGTATGAGGTCAATTTTTTTTTATTGGAGTTAAAATTAACGTAGATATATGACCGAACCTAACCAACCCTACCTAACCTAACCTAACCTATCTTTATAGGTTAGGTTAGGTTAGGTAGCCGAAAACGTTAAGTTAGGTTAGGTTAGGTAGGTTAGGTTGTCGAAAAAACATTAATTCATGAAAACTAGGCTTATTAGGCAAATCAGGCCTTGCATAGTAGGCTGAGAAGTGAGTTCTGGCTACTAGGTACGACATATATATATATATATATATATATATATATATATATATATATATATATATATATATATATATATATATATATATATATATATATATATATATATATATATATATATATATATATTTAGGGGTAACACCACTGGTTTAATAAAAGGGACCCACATCCTCGAAGAAGAAAATAAATAGTGTTCAGAGAAGACCTTGTGGATTCTCACTGAATACTTTAATCTTTTCCTCTCCTACCACCCCTATTATTTTTTTTATTTGATTTTATTGCAATGTTACAGTTTACAGAAAACACACACTTATATAACAATATACCAATCAGTGTTCGAAGACCTCGTCCAGTTCCTCGGGGGTCGGGTGCGTACCCAAGATACAGCATGCATTACCCCTCTGAACAGCGACACTGAGGCGCTGGAACATAAAACTGGCCGCTCTTGGGTCTCTAGTCTTCCCAATGAGTTCCTCGCCCAGCTCCTTCAGGAACTTAAGTGCACATTTACCCCAGGCGCCCAGAGTCTCAGAGCCTATTGGCACGAACCTGTAACAACGTTCTAGGTCCCTGTACTTGTTAGTTTTCTGGGTCTCCCTGAAGGTGGCCGCCCCGCCTCCCTCAGCTGCGCTGTAAGGTAGATAAGTATCAGCCAGTGTGGATGCAGTATACCTGCAGTGTCTTAGTGTGTGAAGGCTATACCAGCAGTGTGTTAGTATGAGGAGGCTATACCTGCAGTGTCTTAGTATGTGGAGGCTATACCTGCAGTGTTTTAGTGTGTGGAGGCTATACCAGCAGTGTGTTAGTATGAGGAGGCTATACCTGCAGTGTCTTAGTATGTGGAGGCTATACCTGCAGTGTCTTAGTATGTGGAGGCTATACCTGCAGTGTCTTAGTATGTGGAGGCTATACCTGCAGTGTCTTAGTGTGTGGAGGCTATACCTGCAGTGTGTTAGTATGTGGAGGATAAGAGTATGAAGATGCTTAGTATGAAGAGGGAGTAGACACTCAAACACTGTGTACTAGATGTGTCTTAGTATAAAGAGGCAGTACGCTATCATACACTTTCTTAGAATGATGAAGGTAAATGCAGTGTGTCAGTATTACGTGGCTATACAGGCCAGGCTTTGCTACCTCATTCAAGGAAATGGTTTCAAGCCAGCAAATAATTAACATAACTAAACTGGCTGAGGTATTGAATATAATGAGACACTTTACGACAGGTTGTGTCACGGGGGCGAATACAGTTCTCAGGAACATCGGAGCACGAACTGTCTGCACGGGACCTGCCCATTGATGAAGACCACGTAGTGGGAGACTGTCCCCCGCTAACGCCGCTCCCCGCCTCCCATGTCAGGGGATTTATCCAGATTCCCGTCACACTTCCACCAACAGCATCCCCGAACGCCATGGTAAGTGGTCATGTGTGTTCCTTCTCTAAATCTCGGTAGAATATTATTTTATTTATTTCAGTCTGTTCATCCGCAAACACACGTAATTATAGGAACCTCTGGGAGGAACGTACACACATAGACTGTTGCACACTTGTGAAAATAGTTGTTTGTGCACTAACTTTTTTATGACACGGGGAGAAAGAAACTACAAAACTAACTTTCCTAGGACTAATCTAGCATATATGTGTTGACTTTAGGCTTAGATGGCAATTATTAGGCCTGAAATGTTTTTTTAACCATTGAACAGGTTACGTTTGGATTAGTAGTTAATGTTTAAGTCCCTAGCATGCTCTCTCCCTGGCATTCCAACTGTGTAGTTAATGTTTAAGTCCCTAGCATGCTCTCTCCCTGGCATTCCAACTGTGTAGTTAATGTTTAAGTCCCTAGCATGCTCTCTCCCTGGCATTCCAACTGTGTAGTTTATGTCCAAGTCCCTAGCATGCTCTCTCCCTGGCATTCCAACTGTGTAGTTAATGTTTAAGTCCCTAGCATGCTCTCTCCCTGGCATTCCAACTGTGTAGTTAATGTTTAAGTCCCTAGCATGCTCTCTCCCTGGCATTCCAACTGTGTAGTTTATGTCCAAGTCCCTAGCATGATATCTCTCTCTCTGGTATTCCAAGTGTACAAAAGTACAAGTGAGTACAAGTGTCCATATACACGCTCCACCAGCAGTTGCTGTAAGTGTCCATATACACGCTCCACCAGTGTTGCTGTAAGTGTCCATATACACGCTCCACCAGTGTTGCTGTAAGTGTCCATATACACGCTCCACCAGTGTTGCTGTAAGTGTCCATATACACGCTACACCAGTGTTGCTGTAAGTGTCCATATACACGCTACACCAGTGTTGCTGTAAGTGTCCATATACACGCTACACCAGTGTTGCTGTAAGTGTCCATATACACGCTCCACCAGTGTTGCTGTAAGTATCCATATACACGCTACACCAGTGTTGCTGTAAGTGTCCATATACACGCTACACCAGTGTTGCTGTAAGTGTCCATATACACGCTACACCAGTGTTGCTGTAAGTGTCCATATACACGCTCCACCAGTGTTGCTGTAAGTGTCCATATACACGCTACACCAGTGTTGCTGTAAGTACTATCATTTCCTTGGGACTGGTTGTCTTTCAATTTTACTGTTACATAATAGGTTAATCTGGAGGAGATATTGGAGTTGCTTGTATTGTGTTAAGTTAGATAACAGCTGCTAGCTCACCTCATCATAACGCCCAGACTGGTACGGTCTCATTGTTTTCAGGTGTTCCTAAAATCAAACTATAGGCTGCAACCAACTAACGTGTTGTGATACACTCCCGCGAAAGAATGTTTAAGAATTTGGAAAGGACACAATGGAAGATCTCCATTTAATGACAAAGTTTACTGACAGGAAAACAAACACAGCTTCACTACTCTACAGTCTACCCTGGTCACAACAGCACGGGAGGTTCTCTTCACCCTACACACCCTCAGGTTTTCTCCACCCAGTACACACAGGTGTATTGTGGTACATAACCACCCTCCCAGTACACACAGGTGTAGTGTGGTACATGACCACCCACCCAGTACACACAGGTGTAGTGTGGTAAATGACCACCCACCCAGTACACACAGGTGTAGTGTGGTACATAACCACCCACCCAGTACACACAGGTGTAGTGTGGTACATAACCACCCACCCAGTACACACAGGTGTAGTGTGGTACATGACCACCCTCCCAGTACACACACAGGTGTATTGTGGTACATAACCACCCACCCAGTACACACAGGTGTAGTGTGGTACATGACCACCCTCCCAGTACACACAGGTGTATTGTGGTACATTCTCAACCTCCCAGTACACACAGGTGTAGTGTGGTACATGACCACCCTCCCAGTACACACAGGTGTATTGTGGTACATTATCAACCACCCAGTACACACAGGTGTAGTGTGGTACATAATTACCCACCCAGTACACACAGGTGTAGTGTGGTACATGACCACCCTCCCAGTACACACAGGTGTAGTGTGGCACATGACCACCCTCCCAATACACACAGGTGTAGTGTGGTACATGACCACCCTCCCAGTACACACAGGTGTAGTGTGGTACATGACCACCCTCCCAGAACACACAGGTGTAGTGTGGTACATGACCACCCTCCCAGTACACACAGGTGTAGTGTGGCACATGACCACCCTCCCAGTACACACAGGTGTAGTGTGGTACATGACCACCCACCCAGTACACACAGGTGTAGTGTGGTACATGACCACCCACCCAGTACACACAGGTGTAGTGTGGCACATGACCACCCTCCCAGTACTCACAGGTGTAGTGTGGCACATTCTCAACCTCCCAGTACACACAGGTGTAGTGTGGTACATGACCACCCACCCAGTACACACAGGTGTATTGTGGTACATGACCACCCACCCAGTACACACAGGTGTAGTGTGGTACATGACCACCCACCCAGTACACACAGGTGTAGTGTGGTACATGACCACCCACCCAGTACACACAGGTGTAGTGTGGTACATGACCACCCTCCCAGTACACACAGGTGTAGTGTGGCACATGACCACCCTCCCAGTACACACAGGTGTAGTTTGGCACATGACCACCCTCCCAGTACACACAGGTGTAGTGTGGTACATGACCACCCTCCCAGTACACACAGGTGTAGTGTGGTACATGACCACCCTCCCAGTACACACAGGTGTATTGTGATACATTCTCAACCTCCCAGTACACACAGGTGTAGTGTGGTACATGACCACCCTCCCAGTACACACAGGTGTAGTGTGGTACATGACCACCCACCCAGTACACACAGGTGTATTGTGGTACATTCTCAACCTCCCAGAACACACAGGTGTAGTGTGGTACATGACCACCCTCCCAGTACACACAGGTGTATTGTGGTACATGACCACCCACCCAGTACACACAGGTGTAGTGTGGTACATGACCACCCTCCCAGTACACACAGGTGTAGTGTGGCACATGACCACCCTCCCAGTACACACAGGTGTATTGTGATACATTCTCAACCTCCCAGTACACACAGGTGTATTGTGATACATTCTCAACCTCCCAGTACACACAGGTGTATTGTGGTACATTCTCAACCTCCCAGTACACACAGGTGTAGTGTGGTACATGACCACCCTCCCAGTACACACAGGTGTATTGTGATACATTCTCAACCTCCCAGTACACACAGGTGTATTGTGGTACATTCTCAACCTCCCAGTACACACAGGTGTAGTGTGGTACATGACCACCCACCCAGTACACACAGGTGTAGTGTGGTACATGACCACCCACCCAGTACACACAGGTGTATTGTGGTACATGACCACCCTCCCAGTACACACAGGTGTAGTGTGGTACATGACCACCCTCCCAGTACACACAGGTGTATTGTGATACATTCTCAACCTCCCAGTACACACAGGTGTAGTGTGGTACATGACCACCCTCCCAGTACACACAGGTGTAGTGTGGTACATTCTCAACCTCCCAGTACACACAGGTGTAGTGTGGTACATGACCACCCACCCAGTACACACAGGTGTAGTGTGGTACATGACCACCCTCCCAGTACACACAGGTGTAGTGTGGTACATGACCACCCTCCCAGTACACACAGGTGTATTGTGATACATTCTCAACCTCCCAGTACACACAGGTGTAGTGTGGTACATGACCACCCTCCCAGTACACACAGGTGTAGTGTGGTACATGACCACCCTCCCAGTACACACAGGTGTAGTGTGGTACATGACCACCCACCCAGTACACACAGGTGTAGTGTGGTACATGACCACCCTCCCAGTACACACAGGTGTAGTGTGGCACATTCTCAACCTCCCAATACACACAGGTGTAGTGTGGTACATGACCACCCACCCAGTACACACAGGTGTAGTGTGGTACATGACCACCCTCCCAGTACACACAGGTGTATTGTGGTACATTCTCAACCTCCCAGTACACACAGGTGTAGTGTGGTACATGACCACCCACCCAGTACACACAGGTGTAGTGTGGTACATGACCACCCTCCCAGTACACACAGGTGTAGTGTGGTACATGACCACCCTCCCAGTACACACAGGTGTAGTGTGGCACATGACCACCCTCCCAGTACACACAGGTGTATTGTGATACATTCTCAACCTCCCAGTACACACAGGTGTATTGTGGTACATTCTCAACCTCCCAGTACACACAGGTGTAGTGTGGTACATGACCACCCTCCCAGTACACACAGGTGTATTGTGATACATTCTCAACCTCCCAGTACACACAGGTGTATTGTGGTACATTCTCAACCTCCCAGTACACACAGGTGTAGTGTGGTACATGACCACCCACCCAGTACACACAGGTGTAGTGTGGTACATGACCACCCACCCAGTACACACAGGTGTATTGTGGTACATGACCACCCTCCCAGTACACACAGGTGTAGTGTGGTACATGACCACCCTCCCAGTACACACAGGTGTATTGTGATACATTCTCAACCTCCCAGTACACACAGGTGTAGTGTGGTACATGACCACCCTCCCAGTACACACAGGTGTAGTGTGGTACATTCTCAACCTCCCAGTACACACAGGTGTAGTGTGGTACATGACCGCCCACCCAGTACACACAGGTGTAGTGTGGTACATGACCACCCTCCCAGTACACACAGGTGTAGTGTGGTACATGACCACCCTCCCAGTACACACAGGTGTATTGTGATACATTCTCAACCTCCCAGTACACACAGGTGTAGTGTGGTACATGACCACCCTCCCAGTACACACAGGTGTAGTGTGGTACATGACCACCCTCCCAGTACACACAGGTGTAGTGTGGTACATGACCACCCACCCAGTACACACAGGTGTAGTGTGGTACATGACCACCCTCCCAGTACACACAGGTGTAGTGTGGCACATTCTCAACCTCCCAGTACACACAGGTGTAGTGTGGTACATGACCACCCACCCAGTACACACAGGTGTAGTGTGGTTCATGACCACCCTCCCAGTACACACAGGTGTATTGTGGTACATTCTCAACCTCCCAGTACACACAGGTGTAGTGTGGTACATGACCACCCACCCAGTACACACAGGTGTAGTGTGGTACATGACCACCCTTTCAGTACACACAGGTGTAGTGTGGTACATGACCACCCTCCCAGTACACACAGGTGTAGTGTGGTACATGACCACCCTCCCAGTACACACAGGTGTAGTGTGGTACATTCTCAACCTCCCAGTACACACAGGTGTATTGTGATACATTCTCAACCTCCCAGTACACACAGGTGTAGTGTGGTACATGACCACCCTCCCAGTACACACAGGTGTAGTGTGGTACATGACCACCCACCCAGTACACACAGGTGTAGTGTGGTACATGACCACCCTCCCAGTACACACAGGTGTAGTGTGGTACATGACCACCCTCCCAGTACACACAGGTGTAGTGTGGTACATGACCACCCACCCAGTACACACAGGTGTAGTGTGGTACATGACCACCCTCCCAGTACACACAGGTGTAGTGTGGTACATGACCACCCACCCAGTACACACAGGTGTAGTGTGGCACATGACCACCCACCCAGTACACACAGGTGTAGTGTGGTACATGACCACCCTCCCAGTACACACAGGTGTAGTGTGGTACATGACCACCCACCCAGTACACACAGGTGTAGTGTGGTACATGACCACCCACCCAGTACACACAGGTGTAGTGTGGTACATGACCACCCACCCAGTACACACAGGTGTAGTGTGGTACATGACCACCCTCCCAGTACACACAGGTGTAGTGTGGTACATGACCACCCTCCCAGTACACACAGGTGTAGTGTGGTACATGACCACCCTCCCAGTACACACAGGTGTAGTGTGGTACATGACCACCCACCCAGTACACACAGGTGTAGTGTGGTACATGACCACCCACCCAGTACACACAGGTGTAGTGTGGTACATGACCACCCTCCCAGTACACACAGGTGTAGTGTGGTACATGACCACCCTCCCAGTACACACAGGTGTAGTGTGGTACATGACCACCCTCCCAGTACACACAGGTGTAGTGTGGTACATGACCACCCACCCAGTACACACAGGTGTAGTGTGGTACATGACCACCCACCCAGTACACACAGGTGTAGTGTGGTACATGACCACCCTCCCAGTACACACAGGTGTAGTGTGGCACATTATCAACCTCCCAGTACACACAGGTGTAGTGTGGTACATGACCACCCACCCAGTACACACAGGTGTAGTGTGGTACATGACCACCCACCCAGTACACACATTGCGAGGACCAGAAAGGAAATTTCCGAAAGAGAAATTATGAAGAGATAAGAAAATTCTTAACGGAAATACCTTGAAAACCAGTATTCAGAGTAAAGTCTGGGCAAGACATAATGGCTTACGTCACATAAAATTGTCAAAAGGCAGTAAAAAACGTTAATCCCTGCTCAAAATTAAAAATCTCTCTCTCCATGGATAATAAAAGAGTGTGCAGGATCCCTGTGCTTGCCACTTTCCATGGTATCTAGTAAGTCACTTGAAAAAATACCTACCAGAAATTTGGAAGAGAGTCAATGTAGTGTCAGTAAACAAAAAAAGGCGACAAGCAAGAGGCACTTAGCTGCAGGTCAGTGTCCCTAACTTGTCTACCATGCAAGGTGACGGAGAAGATTGTGAGAAAGAATGTAGTAACACATCAAGAGAGAATGGACTTCGAAACACACCACCAACATGGGTTTAGGGACGGCAAATCTGGCCTCACAAGCGTAATAGAATTTTATGACTAGTTGACAAAGATTAAGAAAGAAAGAGAAGGGAACCCCATAAGAGGCTGGTGCATAAATTGGAGAAACATGCAGGAGTAACTATTACGGTGCTCCAATGAATAAGGGAGTACCTAAGAAACAGGAAGCAGAGTTACTGTGTGAGGTGAGGTTTCAGGATGGGGGGTGAAGTCACTAGCAGAATCCCACCGGTTGTGAACTCAGACCTATCTGTTTTTTTATATACGTGAATGATCTTCAGGAGGGTATAGACACATTCCTCTCAATGTTTGCTGATGATGCTAAAAATATGAGAAGGACAGCATGAGGCTAAAGGGGGGTAGAAATAGCCTAAGCTGCTCTGTCCCTTTGAGATGTATTTCTTTCTTATCTCAATAAACATACTTGATGAGGCTAAAAGATGATCTGGACAAACTGAGGGAATGGTCCAACAAATAACTATTAGAGTTTAACTCGAGCAAATGTAAAGTAATGAAGGTAGGTGTAGGGAGCAGGAAGCCAGATACAAGGTACCATTTGGGAGATGAAATCATTCAATAATCAGAGAGAGTGAAAGATCTGGGGATTGATATCATGCCAAACCTGTACCCCGAAGCCCACATCAAGAGGATATCATCAGCGGCATATGCTTGGTTGGCCAACATAAAAACTGCATGAAGAAACTTATGTAAGAAATCATTCTAAACTTTGTATACCACGTATGTCAAACTAATCCTGGAGTAGGCAGCTCCAGCTTGACGTCCGTATCTGGTCAAGCACAAGACTAAATTAGAGAAGGTTGAGAGGTATGCCACCAGACTAGTACCCGAGATGAGGAGTATGAGCTGTGAGCAGAGACTATGGTAACTAAACCTCACGTCACGAGATGAGGAGTATGAGCTGTGAGCAGAGACTATGGTAACTAAACCTCACGTCACGAGATGAGGAGTATGAGCTGTGAGCAGAGACTATGGTAACTAAACCTCACGTCACGAGATGAGGAGTATGAGCTGTGAGCAGAGACTATGGGAACTAAACCTCACGTCACGAGATGAGGTGTATGAGCTATGAGCAGAGACTATGGTAACTAAACCTCACGTCACGAGATGAGGAGTATGAGCTGTGAGCAGAGACTATGGGAACTAAACCTCACGTCACGAGATGAGGTGTATGAGCTATGAGCAGAGACTATGGGAACTACACCTCACGTCACGAGATGAGGAGTATGAGCTATGAGCAGAGACTATGGGAACTACACCTCACGTCACGAGATGAGGAGTATGAGCTATGAGCAGAGACTATGGGAACTACACCTCACGTCACGAGATGAGGAGTATGAGCTGTGAGCAGAGACTATGGGAACTAAACCTCACGTCACGAGATGAGGTGTATGAGCTGTGAGCAGAGACTATGGGAACTAAACCTCACGTCACAGGAAGAGAGGAGTTCAGGGAAACATGATCACCACAAACAAGATTCTCAGAGGAATTGAGCGAGTTGATGAAGACAGATTATTTAACACAAGTTCAACATGCACAAGGAAACCCAGATGAAAACTGAGTACCCAGATGATCCACAGAGACATCTGAAAGAACTTTTTCAATATCAGAGTGTTAACAAATGAAATGCATTAAGCAGTGATGTGGTGGAGATAGACTCCATACACAGTTTCAAGTGCAGATATGATAGAGTCCAATAGGTTCAGTAATCTGTAAACCAGTTGACCGACGGATGAGAGGCGGGACCAAAGAGCCGAAGTTCAACCCCTACAAGCACAATCAGGTGAGTACTAGATTGCTAGAATACTGAGTACTAGAATAACATTGTCAACATATAACAGAGTATTGAGCCTGACCTTGCCACAGGTGGTTGTGTGGTACAGCCGGGACGATGGAGAAGTCGTCACCGACGCTCAGCAGCTCAACATAGACAAGTGCTTCCATAACCAAGTTAATCTGGCGTGGTCACGCTCCAGGGCACAACCAGCGGAGCAAGTTAGTCTGCGTCTGTCTGCTGAACCAAAGTCTCTCTGCAGTCTTGGTGAGCAATAACTTACTTTTATTGTATAAAAACCCATCCTCAGGTCTCAAAGTACTTTCTAGAAGATGTTTTTAGAACAAGAGTTCATGTGGTATATCATGCTGTTATATTCACACACCAGCCTCCTTCCCCTCACAGTTTGTACCACCTAGTTCCTTTATCTTAATGTTTCTGATGCTATGAAGCTTTCATAAGGCTCCAATAATTGAATATTAATATATTATTGTTTAACTACATGTCCCACCATTGTTATAATAAACTGCCAGCAACTTGCTATACAAATATAATTATTTAGTAGGATTAGATATTATCCTATATTTATATTTTTAATTTTCATTATTCCAGTTATCAGTTATATTAGGGATCTGATGGTCTTATGGCTAAATTAGGTTATAGGATAAATTAAATAAACATTAAATTATTACTGAAGTCTATGGCTTAAGATGTTTTCTCTAAGATGGATTCAGTTTATCCGTATTCTATAACAATACTTAGATAGATACATGGAGCCCACTACTGCCCACGGGTTGGGTATGGGGTCCACTACTGCCCACGGGTTGGGTATGGGGTCCACTACTGCCCACGGGTTGGGTATGGGGTCCACTAACGTCCACGGGTTGGGTATGGGGTCCACTACCGTCCACGGGTTGGGTATGGGGTCCACTACCATCCACGGGTTGGGTATGGGGTCCACTACCGTCCACGGGTTGGGTATGGGGTCCACTACCATCCACGGGTTGGGTATGGGGTCCACTACCGTCCACGGGTTGGGTATGGGGTCCACTACCGTCCACGGGTTGGGTATGGGGTCCACTACCGTCCACGGGTTGGGTATGGGGTCCACTACCGTCCACGGGTTTGGTATGGGGTCCACTAACCCCCACGGGCTGGAAGCAGAACAAACAGGAGAGAGCAATAATAATGGGCTAAGATAAGATTCGGTCTTATCGAAAAAATTCGGTCTCATATGCGTGACCACAAATATGTAATTGAAACTTAAAAAAAAAGGTCTTAAACGGGTGACCAAATATCTGTAAGTGAAACTCTGAACAAATTTGGTCTTAAATGGGTGACGCCTTAACTGTAAGTTTTCCAGGATACGTCTTGATACGTTCTCTTTAGAACTTGTTACACACTATTCATATTCCTCGCATATTCTCTGCAAGTTCTATTCATGTATATCTCCTGTTTCTCCATGTTCTTCACATTCTCTTCCATGTTCTCTGTGTTCTTTGTCATATTCTCCATGTTCTCAGAATGTTCTTCACAAGTTCAATGTTCATTCTTTGTATACTGTATATATTCTTTTTCATGTTTCCACGTTATATGCAAGTTCAATGCAAATTCCTTGCATGTTCTCTGTGTTCATCGCATTCTCTTTATTTATTTATTTATTTAATTTATTTATTACAAGTATTATTTATATTTATAATTATATAATTATATATATTTATAATTATATAATTATATATATTTATAATTATATAATTATATATATTTATAATTATTGATTTATAATTTATTTATTTATAATTTATTTATTTATTATTACTTCTTTATTACAAAGTATTTATTTAGTCATTTACTGAGGTTTATTTTTCAATTAAGTATGTCGATGTATTTCTTTATCTACTTAATATTTCTTACCGGCACTGTTCATAAGAAAAAACTGGGATTTATTCAAGAACAAATTCACTAAGACATTCTTTTCTTATCGTTTCTTAACTAAAGTTTTTGTCAATCAACTGAAAATAGTCACGTTCATCATCTTTTCATAATTTTTTAACTAAAATAACTCTTCTTTGGTTAAAAAAATAGTAAAAGGAAACTCTCAACATTGTTCATAATTAACATTATGCTTCGCTGAGTAAGAAAAATAGTGAAAATGTAATCTCTTCATGGTAATATATCTAACTAAATTTACTCTCTGAGACATCTTTGCGCATCAAATAATACTCTCATGTCATCTTTATTCTCCAATGAGACGCTGAAACGCATGAAAATACTATTCATGCTATCAAAAGTTATTTTCAGAGACATTAAGAATAGACACAAAGACATAAAAAAAATACTATTCATACCATCAAAAGTTATTCTGAGAGTCATCGGAGGTAATCTCTCACTCACCTTCGTGCATCAAAGAAACTTTCTAAGACATCTTCGTGTAATAAAGAATCACTCCAAGACATCTTCACCCGTTAAAAGACTCACTCAGAGTCATCAAGATCACTCTTCATGCATTAAAAAGTCTCTAACTGTGTATTTACTTTAGAAGGATTCTCTCTAATCATCTTCACTCTTTAATTAATCTCTCAAAGACATCTTTGCTCAGCAATAATACGTTTCAAGATCATTTATTTAACATTTTTACTTTTATAAGACATCTTTATGCATCAATCGATTCTCACATGTTATCTTCGTTCATTTAAAGAACCTCTTCAAGACAATAATAATATGTTCTGATATAATTTAATTAGCAAGCTAAAATGTACATAAAGTTCTGGGTGGATGGTGTACAACGAAAAATATATTGAATTAAAGATAGGTTAGGTTAGGGTTTGTTGGGTTAGATTAGGGAAGGATGCTACAACAACAACAACAATATACAAGGAATAATAGAGATTGGAAGCAGAACAAACAGAGGAAAATAGTAATAAGAACGGGCTATGATAAGATAAGATTCGGTCATGTCGATAAAATTCGGTCTTAAATGGGTCACCACATATCTATAAGTGAAACTCTGAAAAAATCCGGTCTTAAACGGGTGACGTCTTAACTGTAAGTGTTCCAGGATAAGTCTTGATACGATTTAAACTAAAACTAGACTCTGAAAAAAATTAGCTGGAAAACTTATGTGACACAGCTGTAAGTGCAACTCTGAAAAAATTTAACCTGAAAAGCGTGTGACACAGCAGTAAGTTTTTAAAAGTTCGTTCAGTTTGGTGTGACACAGCAGTAAGTTTCCAAAAAATAAAAAAAAATTATGCTACGGCTTCAATGGCCCTGGCCCTACTACTCACGAGTTGGGTATGGGGTCCACAACAACCCATAGCTTGTGTGTGGAGCACTATTGCCCAGAGGTTTGGTATGCAGTCCATTTCCGCCCATCAGTTGGGTAAGAGGTTCACTACCACCCACGGGTTAGGTATGGGATCCTTTACCGCCCACAGGTTGGGTATGGGGTCCACAACCACCCACTGGTTGGGTATGGGGTCCTATATCGCCCACGGGTTGGGTATGTGGTCCACAACCACCCACGGGTTGGGTATGGGATCCTATACCGCCCACGGGATGGGTATGGGGTCCACAACCACCCATGGGTTGGGTATGGGGTCCTATACCGCCCACGGGTTGGGTATGAGATCCTATACCCAACCCGTGGGTTGTGTATGGGGGTCCACAGCCTCCCATGGGTCGGGTATGGGGTCCATTACCCCCCATCAGTTGGATATTGGGACCACTACCACCCACGGGTTGGGGAATAAGGTCCTATACCGCCCACTGGTTGGGTATCAGGCCGACTACCACCCTCGGGTTGGGTATGGGGTTCACTACCACCCCATGGGTTGGGTATGGGGCCCACTACTGCCCACAGGTTGGGTATGCGGTCCATATCCGCCTATCGGTTCAGTTTGTGGTCCACTACCATCCACGGGTTGGGTATGAAGTGCAGAGAATCGGGACACACACACACACACACACACACACACACACACACACACACACACACACACACACACACACACACACACACACACACACACACACACACACACACACACACACACACACACACACACACACACACACACACACCAATCCTGGAGTATGCGGCCCCAGCATGAAGTCCGTACCTAGTGAAGCACAAGACGAAGCTGGAAAGAGTTCAAAGATATGCCACTAGACTAGTCCCAGAACTAATAGGCATGAGTTACGAGGAAAGGCTGCGGGAAATGCACCTTACGACACTGGAAGACAGAAGAGTAAGGGGAGACATGATCTCAACCTACAAAATCCTCAGGGGAATCGACCGCGGTAAACAAGGATAAACTATTCAACACTGGTGGTACGCAAACAAGGGACACAGGTGGAAACTGAGTACCCACGTGAGCCACAGGGACGTTAGAAGGAACGTTTTCAGTGTCAGAGTAGTTAACAGATGGAATGCATTAGGCAGTGATGTGGTGGAGGCTGACTCCATACACAGTTTCAAATGTAGATATGATAGAGCCCAGTAGGCTCAGGAATCTTTACACCTGTTGATTGACAGTTGAGAGGAAAGAGCCAAAACTCAACCCCCGCAAGCACAAATAGGTGAGTACACACACACGCACGCACACACACGCACGCGTGCACACGCACACACACACTACCGACGCCTTGGGCCATACAACTGTGACAGGAAACGACCTGTCCTGGTACAGTTCACTAACGAAGAGGCAGTGGATTACATACTGCATCACAAACACTTACTCAGAGGTAGCGAAAAGTACTACAACGTATATATTGACACCTGGTTGATACCTGCTTGATGGGGTTCTGGGAGTTCTTCTACTCCCCAAGCCCGGCCCGAGGCCAGGCTTGACTTGTGAGAGTTTGGTCCACCAGGCTGTTGCTTGCAGCGGCCCGCAGGCCCACATACCCACCACAGCCCGGTTGGTTCGGTACTCCTTGAAGGAAGCAATCTAGTTTCCTCTTGAAGATGTCCACGGTTGTTCCTGTAATATTTCTGATGCTCGCTGGTAGGACGTTGAACAACCGTGGACCTCTGATGTTTATACAGTGTTCCCTGATTGTGCCCATGGCACCTCTGCTCTTCACTGGTTCTATTCTGCATTTTATTCCATGTCGTTCACTCCAGTACGTTGTTATTTTACTGTGTAGATTTGGTACTTGGCCCTCCAGTATTTTCCATGTGTCTATTATTTGGTATCTCTCTCATCTCCTTTCTAGTGAGTACATTTGGAGAGCTTTGAGACGATCCCAATAATTTAGGTGCT